TAAAAAACTAATTTTGTGGAGTTGACGACATCCTCACAACAGATGAGACAGTTACAGAGTTCTTCCCAAGACCAAGTCTTAGGATGACATAGTTGACTTCCTCCCTCTTATTTCAAGGTCGCGTGGATGAGATTCTTGGGATGACGCTGCATACTCCTTGATGATGTAGCTCTTGGAGCTTTGATGAGTTTGGCTCGATGTGAATCTTTTTTGGGCTGGACCCATCGAGTTTCGTCTTCGTGGGTATTTTATTCAAGTTGGGCCGCACAACCTGAGTTAGACCTTGGGCTGCTCATCAGTTACTGCACCCTGGGTATCAAAACTAACATTATTTTGCATGCATATTCCTTTTTTTTTTGGAGGAGGAGGAGATTGTGGTGGCTTGAGAATGGTTTCCCAATGGGTTGGCAAAACAGCAAGGCTCAGTTTATGATCATTTTTTACTTTTTTAGGAACGACNAAAGATATTGTTATCTACTGTACTAAACAAATTGAATTCCTACTGCTTGAGATAAATGTGAGTGAAAGGGATACAAATTAAGTGTAGAATCTCGTATATATAGTCAAACAAAAAAAATACAATAAGGATAAAAAGGTAAAACAAAGGTAGAAAGGAAAATCCTAATAATCTAGGTTATAACTCCAACACTCCCCCTCAAGCTAGGCGCAAAAATATCAACTAAGTCAAGCTTGACAACCGAGTCCTGAAGAATGAAAACGTGATAGGTTTGGTGAAAACATCCGCAACTTGATTACTAGTCCCTACAAACAATGGAGTGATAATACCACAGCTAACCTTCTCTCGAAAAAAGTGAACATCGATCTCTATATGCTTCGTCCTCTCGTGTAGTACAGAGTCAGAAGCGAGCTGAATAGCAGATCGATTATCACAATATAATGTGGATGGAGAAGTCACTGAAAATTCTAACTCGCCAAGAATCGATCATAACTAAATAATCTCACACGTGTCAAGTGTCAGTGCCCGATACTCTGCCTCTGCTGAGGAGCGGGAGACAACTGTCTGCTACTTGCTCTTCCAAGAGATAAGATGAATCCTTCAAAAAGCACAGAAGTCAGTAATAGATCGACAGTCACATGCTCCCCCATAATCTGAATCTGAATAATATGCTAGAGAATCAATCTGATATCCTGATGCATAGAACAACCCATCTCGGTTTCTCAGGGGGAGTTGTGGTGGGGGGGGGGGGGGGGGGAGATGCTTCTACATGTTAGGCTATTTTGATGGGTTCTTGTGCTTCTAAGCCACTTCTTAGTCATATAAAGAACTCAATAGACTAAAATAGTATTAGAGGAAAGGAATGTGAGAATTAATGTGACAGTTTGAAGAATAGGGAAAGCATTCGAGGCTCAAGATTTGTTCCTTTGGATAGAGTCAGCTGACTAGTGTAGAAAGACTTTCACCAGGCAGATGCGAGCCATGGCTATTTATGTCGCACCCAATGTATAAAATCCTTACTTATAGTAAGTTCTAAAAGAGATAAATGATATATAGTTTTATCTATGTTAACAGAGTCAATTCTTGGATTTGAACTCAGAACACATCACCTGAGTGAATGAACACTTGTCATCGCTCTGAATCCGCCCTCTAAATTGGTTATTTCGGTGCTGATCAGATAAGGTAGACTTTAAGACCATAACAATTTATCCGACACCTTAGGATACCTTGANTCTGAATCCGCCCTCTAAATTGGTTATTTCGGTGCTGATCAGATAAGGTAGACTTTGAGACCATAACAATTTATCCGACACCTTAGGATACCTTGAAACAAAACTAATGATCAAGAACACCCAAAAAAATGGTTGTTTAGGGAAGTTTGGTTAACTGAAAAATCCTTGCTCCTTCATCATCAGTCATTTTTTCGCAGTCCTATAGGTATCTTGAGGTCTCACTTAACTGTTACAATCTTGTTAAAAACATTGAAAAAATCAGTCTCCATCAGTTTTAAGGCTTTCGGAATTGCACTTAAGTTCTTAACATCAAGTCTCACCCAGTTAATCCCTGCTGCAAGTTGCACACACATATAGAAGCTAAAGTTTGGGAGAAAATACTAGGAAAGAACAAGAAAAAGAATCTTATAACCGCCTTTAACTTTAACCTTTTTTTCAATTCCTTTTGGATATGTATTCTAGCCTATCTTTTTTTTTTTAAAAAAAGANCTTTAACCTTTTTTTCAATTCCTTTTGGATATGTATTCTAGCCTATCTTTTTTTTTAAAAAAAAAGAAAAGTGCATTGGAAGCTAGAGTTTTGTACAATAATTTTAATAAATTTTACACTAAGCACGTGGAAGTATTATGATAATTATTTTTTGGGGGGAGTACAATGCCCTCAAGTTAATGATGAGATTTTAAAGGAAGATCTCGTATTTTAAAGCTTTGCTTTAGTGTTACGAACATCTTAGCCTAAACCAGAGAAAACTTCTCCGACATAGCTAGTCTATCTTATATATATAAAATAATTAATTTCTTAGGGAGATGGTTTGATAAGTTTTTCCCTTTCACTTTTTTAATTTCTAAGAATTTTAAATTATTTAATTTGTNATATAAAATAATTAATTTCTTAGGGAGATGGTTTGATAAGTTTTTCCCTTTCACTTTTTTAATTTTTAAGAATTTTAAATTATTAAATTTCTTATCCTCCAATCACATTCTACCAAATGCCTTCAATAACTACCCATAAAATGATATAAAAAGTGAGTCAATTGATTATTTATAGTTGTCCTTCCGGGAAAAAAAACTACCCATAAACTCCCTCTACCCATCATTTAATTAATTTTTTTTAAACATCAACGTTTGTAATTCAATAATTCCTCCAGAAGGAGATGGTCCGTGCATCGCATGAGATCGGACACTAGTTCAAAATAATAAGGAACATTGTCAATGCCATAATTGTTTCCTTGTCAATAGATTAAATTAGATTAATATTTTGAAGCTAGAACCCTTTGGGGATATTAATTCAAGCTAGGTCTCTATTTTCAGGAGTTGGAGGCCATAGTATATATTCTTCCATATCTGTGGAAAAGGCAAAGTGTTGGAGGTGGGAGGAAGTGATTGTTTCTCCCATAATCCTAGCTAAAAAGGAGAGCATATATATCAATTCTTCTTTTTGGCCAATTGATGGAGATTCGAAACCATAGGATTTCAGATAAGGCTATAGTAAAACTTACTATCCATTTTGCATCTTTCTTTAACTAATGGAGTCTCGTCTGTGATCCACGATATTTTTAATTTCTTCCATCACAATCTTACCACCGTATTGACATCGCCACCCCCACCCCCTATTGCTCCTTGTGAAGAAAAAAAGAAATACGAATGACTACTTAAATATGAAATTTAGTTACAGATAATTAAGAACCTCGTGACATTAGAACTTTCAAGTACAATGTTCGATTCTTCATTGACAAATTTTAAGGCAAAACATGGATCACCTCCTTATAATAGTTTGTCCCATTTATTGATTATCTCCTTGTTGTTTTAAAATTTTTAATGTAAAAGGTANCACCTCCTTATAATAGTTTGTCCCATTTATTGATTATCTCCTTGTTGTTTTAAAAATTTTAATGTAAAAGGTAATTTTTTTTTTCATCTTATTGATGTACTAATGTTTTTAGTCCGACGTCAACACACCACATTATTTGATTACAATTTTTAGTCTTATTTTTTGTAGTTCAATGGTCATGAATGTCTGGACTAGTTTATGCGCACTTTAATTAATTCTCTCTCCAGTTTGATTAAACGTATACTATGTACGTCGGACTAGGATATTCATGAGTGATAAATTCCTCATGGTCTAATTTAAGGGGTTTTAATAATCGAATTCAAGAAGTTCAAATTTACGACTCATCTATGTTACTTCTTGAACCATGTTTGAGATTGTCCTAGGAGAACAAGATCAAATTTAGTCACAATAGTTTCAAGTTTTAAAAGGTGTTTACAAAAAAATAATCACAACAAAATTTTGGAAAAAAAAAACCAAAAAAGTGGTTGTTTGTTTGAGGCGACCCACCAGGCAATTTGAGTCAGGAGTGCACCGGCTCGTTGTCCTTCCACTGTCGACAGCGGGAAGTTGTCGCTGCTCTGTGAAACCAGCCTGACGCAGAACCCTCCTCTATAGGAGCCATGAGGTCCAAGCCTTCGCCCAAACTACATGACTCACTCACAACTTGGAACGGGCGAGCCAGCAATTGCAACCCACAGACCCTGCCTGACTGAGTCCACTCGTAATCCAACCACATAAATGCCCTCACTTGAGTCACAGGCTGTCGCAACTCAGCCCGGCAACAACAATGACTGTTCCGTCAATTATATAAAGAAAAGGAAAAATGTGTACTGTTTCGATGTGGGACTAGAGTAATAACCTTAAAGAAGTATACGAGAAGCTTTCAAGTCATGGGGTAGGGATATCACCGGATTGAGTCATGGGCTAGGGATATCACCGGATTAATTTGCTGTTAGGAGTCCCTCTCCTCTAGCCGAATCAATAAAAAATAGAAATCCCAATAGAAGTTTACTGACCATATTGCTTCAAAGAAAGGCACAAGAAGGGTCTCTCAAACTTTGAAAAGGGCTCGGATTTTCTTTAATGTGTGGGTTATTTCATTTGATGATTGGGGAGTGGTCACTTGGATCAATCACATTTTCAATCTTAACTTGAAATCAAACAGCCTATATTAACTCTTGATCAAGAAACAAATGGCTGAAACGATCAAAACATTTCATTTTTGGAGGAGACCATACTGAAACTAAGGATGAAAAATCGAAAAATTTACCATTGGGTATATTTCCGGAACAAAATTCTAGACATTTTTCTTTTTAGTACAACACACAATATATACTAATTAATGGCCGATGAACTTTACAATTCTCATGGTTGCTTACACTTGTTTATTTCTTATTTATACATATATACATTTCAGATAAACAAATGCATGCACTAGGCACAAACTTATATGAACAAAAATACAGAGACAATGTTAGCTGCTTGGTTTGGTATCATCGTAGCTCATCGTCTGTTGGTTTTGGCTTCCTTGCTGCAGTTGTCGAAAGATGGAACCTCTTCCCCAAAGGTCTGGGCGCCCCTGTTTTTCTATTGAATCCTCTCACACAAACAAATCCTGCAGCAATTTGAATATGTGTTCAGGAAGAAAATGTTGATTGAGCAGGATAATTCCAGATGGATAACATGGAGCAAGAGAACACATTTACTTGAGTTTTACTTGCACGAGAGAGAGAGAGAGAGAGAAAGCATAGATGGAGGTGGTAGGGACAAGCACTAATACAGGTAAGTACGTGCGACCTCTACTCACACTGGGAGAGACGTATTGAATAACTGTAAGACTTGATCAGAGAAATAAGATGGTGCATTTGTGGCACAAACATAAGGGGGATCAAGTCCAATATCTATGTCTGCGAAAGAGAGTGCCCAAAGGACTTCTAAAACTAACTATGATACCATGTGAAGAGAAAGAATTGTAGGAAAATTGTGAGAGGGGAAGTAAAAAATCCTACCCCATATTTCACTCTCACCTTATATTTCTAGTTATACAATGAAACATAAAAGGATGAGTACACCCTCAAAGGATATACCTAACCAATTGTCATTTACAACTAATGTAAAATGGACAATATGACTATCATTCTCAACAACTTTCACTGTCATGCAAATCGGGGTAATCCCCAAATTAATGATTTAGTTCAGTATTTACTAAGTTTGATACATTTACCAAGTGTAGAACAACTATTCACTGTTCTAATTCTAAGATATACAACAAAGATATGTATAATATACCACCTACACCTAGGTATTATATACTGCAGTACTATGTAACTTTAGATATAGTTGTTTAATATCTGAATGCGACTAGATTCATATTCCTTTTTCTTTTCAACTGGGTGAGTCAAATGGCACCAAATACAGAAAGTTCTAATTTCATACCTCTCCAAAAGCAATCTTGAATTTCCTCTGTTGATAAGCCTGGTTTACAGAACCAGAATTTTGTAAGCCAATTAAGAACTTCACACTGGTTATTCTTCTGTTGATATCCAAATCACATGCTAAAATGACTCTTTTACCTCTAAATATTGTTTCTGTAGAGGTTCCACAATATAACGTTCGCCTTCGCAAGTTCCATATCCACTCTCTCGGAACGTCTATTGGGTGTCTACTAGAATCATCATCAGCAAATACCTGCATACAAGGTTTTTTATACAACGGCTAGATGTGAAAAAGCAAAAATATAAAATAACATTGACATGAAAAGTTTGGGAATGCATAAAACTAGGAATAGATTTACCTCGTTAACCTGAAAGTATGTTCCGTTTAGTGGAAAGCTGCCTCGGTTTGCTGTTCGGCAAGGTATCTACTCCGTAGAATATAATGTTTGTGTCAATATTCCATTATGCAGTGTCAAATCAAATTGAATCTATGACAATCAGCACGAGTATTTGTTGTATAATTTCTCACCAATATTGTTCCACCAACGGTTTGGAAATCTTGCTCCTGAATATTAGGTTGTTGAGGGGCCTCCACAGCTTCAGCTGATGGAAGACATCCATAATAGATCTGAATATTAGCAAATACAGAAGGATACCAATCTTTGGGTTATGTGAAAGTTTATTCTACAAATAATTAAAGGTCAAACTAGCTGTAAGGACAATGTAAATTTGTAAGAATTTGTTGCTTTCTCCAGCATGTATGCAACATTTTTCACATTGTATGCTGTATTTTAGGAATTCTCTATAAATACAGGGAACTTTGATACCCTATCGTCCCACAAACCAAGGTCGCAAAACCCAAAACGGGGTGGGTTTGCAATCCAGATTGTTTAGATTTCAATTCCCCATTGTAACTCAAACTCCAAAAAATATATTAGTTAACTATGTGTATACGAATGTATAATTAAACATAATCTCATATCCTATAGAACGCAATATGATACAAAAAGAACCACAACCCAAAATAGCGTACTAACTAAGTTTACCCACATTGCAGCACGTACCGGAAGAACAATCGTATCATGTATCCATACATGTACCATGTACCTTGTACCAAATCGACCCACGTTCTAGGTAACATTAGTTATGGGATTTCTTGCATTCCTACCATGTTTTCAAAGCACGGTGTGTACCGTTCATCCATATTGCAAGAAGATAGGGGCATCGATCATCAGGATCCCGTTTGTCTAGCTGTAGCATGCAGGAAGATTGATCAGAATGATAGATGCATGTAGAAATAAAATTAGAGCAGTAGGTGATGAAACTTACCCTTGCCACAAGAGGGTGCGAATCTGGAAGTTCATATCTGCATTAGAGTAGATAACAATTAGAATGCATCATGTGGTTCCACTCTACCATCTCAGTCACTGAGTATGCAGGGGTACAAAATCTAAAAACTGTCCGTAGGAAAATAGAATTTGCACATTTATGCTTTAGATCTTGCTAAACTTATTAAAATCCAGCTTTTCTCAGTTGATTACCAGTGAAAAAGTGTCCCACATCAAACATTGACAAAAGCTTCTAAAACCTGTGTAGAGGATATTTTTTTTCAAAAACATCAGTGCAGCCACCAAAATAGGACATGTTTTCATTATCGAGGCTGGTTAAGGTCATCAGAGTGAGGAAGCTTCATAGTTTGAGACCTGATTTTGAAACATTTGCCATCAAATTACCCAAGTTCACAAGTAGGCATGACTTTTGAATAATTCCTAAGGTCATATAAAGTTGGAAAAACGCATACGTACACTTGGTGAACTGCCCTTAAACGGCTCACATGCTTCAGTTTGGACACAGGGTTTGAAGCAGCTTCCGCGCTCAAAACAACCAGCGCTTTGGACACTTCACCCTCTTGAAGTATGTTGTCCATAAAATCCACTGACGGTCTGTACAAGTCTTCAATGTCCCTTTCTGCAGATTCTCTATGTAGCGGCCCCGGAGATGATGGAACTTCAATTATAGGTTCACAATTCTGCAATCGGTATCTTGACTCTGAACTGTTAGCCCCAGCCAGGGGCAGTGGTGTTGATGCAGTGGGCATGGCAGGGTTTTGGATCACTGCAACAGGTAACATTGAAGTCACCACACTTTCTCCTTGTGGCACAGGCAGGGCGGGTCTAGCACTGCATTTGGCAAGCTTGATTTAGTAATCTAATTCATGCAAACATGTTCCATAAATATGTTTTTTGAAGATGAGCTGCTGCATTTTTTGGTATTTGGCAAATCCAGATTGTTAATGAACACATAGTACAAATGGGTTACCACAAAAATATGCCTTTTGATAGCCATCCTAAATCGTAGGCTAAACCACAATCACGCCCCTTTATATTAAAAAAGCATAAGGCCACCAGTTGCATTTTCTTAAATGAAAATCCCCCGTCAGTGCGAGTCTGCTTTTTTTATATTCATCCTTCACTTCTTATATATATACACACACGTGTCTGTATCAGTATGTATATATAAATATATACATCTTACACATAGATACACATTGTTTGTATATATAAATATACACACCTCCTGTTGGTACCACCTCCACAAGCCCATCCACACACAAACACATACACAAACATGCACACACTTGACCAAAGACAACCTCTTTCCATCCTTTCTTTCCCCCTCTATTGGTAAAAAAAGATCTGTATGTCCACCATCGTCACCTCCATCTCTCAATGCATACATAAACCACACAAAACACATAGACACATCCACATGGTCTAATCAATAAAGCTCATCAAACCCAAACTCTGATGAAATCCAATTCACACACAGAGGCTTCGTCTGGTATGTTACTTGTTAAATATAGCCATATAGGTAAATATATGTGTGTGAGTTGGATGGAATACAGTTGAATCCCATGGTTTGATTCCAGGCAATGTGCCCATGTGTCTGAAAGAGAGACAGAAGAAGACATTGGCATGCCCATGTATGGAATTGGTGCATAGGTGGTGGTGCATGGTGGCTAATATTGGTGTGTGCAGTGGTGCATGTCTTGGTCCATCGTAGAATGTGTGAGAGATGGAGAAAAAGAACAGAAGTTTTAAATGAGGGATGTTGTTGGACTTAAGAATAGGTAGAAGATCATCAGCAGACTTGAGGGTAAAAGGGATGTTTTTGGAAAGATGATATGAGCACCTTTATCCTGTACGCAACAACCAGTCACGCTGGGATTCCTAAAATTTGAGTCTTGTTAGACTTAAGACATTGGAAGTTGAAACAAGGCATAGTTTATGGTCAATGACCTGAACTTCATCTACATATTCCACTTAGTGGCTCCCATCCCCTTTCACTTTAGGAATAGGTTAGATACATCATTGTACATTATAATAAGAAAGTACCGGTAAGTCACTACAGGGGTACCATATGATATAGATGGATTAACTAGAAGAGACGAAAGTGTCATTTCAACCACTATTTGTGGCAATCTACAAGAGAGTGGTTGATTTACCCAAATCTAAACAACAAAGAACTGATAGTAGAATAAAATAGAAAACCAAGCCTTTAGTTACTTCTAACCATATCATTGCCACAAATGATATCGACTCTATTCTTAAAAAAGACATGATTGAATCCTCATACCAGGTTATTATTCCTTTTCTATCAATATTGAAGAATAAGTAAAAATGCCACACAACCTGGATCAACTTTTGACCATCTTATTGTGGATAGTTGTATCACCGCCTAGCCAGAATAATGAGACATCATCGGAAGACACCTCCAAGCCAAGAGGCAAGGGCCCCATTGTCCATGGCTTGTAGCTTACTATTTAATTATGGCCATTCCATTATGCTTAAAGAAAATAATTGAGGGAAAACATTATGCCAACCTTGCACATGCACTAGCAAAGTGCCTGCAGTCTCCCCTCATTGGACAAGCGTTACAGTTGGGTCGCCTCTTTGTACAGAACACCTATATGTTTCGAAGGGCAAGTCATTACCATTAGTGTCTTCTAGAGACAAGGAAAAAATGAAGAAAATATGCTATAGTAACACATTCCCAATAATGATAGCATACCTTTCCAAATGTAATCATCTGATAATGTAGTTCGTACCTGTTACGTAGCATATATAGAAAATAAGTAGAAAAATTGTGATCAATTCCAGAGCAATAAATGTTCACATTATTAAGTTGGTCTGATGTACATGAAAATCCATTGGCTGTAGTATCTGTTAAGGGTGGGGAACGGAAAATTACAATGTTTGTTGATCAAGAGTGCAGAGGCGCGGCCACAGGTATTTTTGAATGTCATTCACCGATGGGTACCTGAAGAGCGACAATGTCAAGAAATCTTTTATTTGACTGGAAACCACGGTCTTATTGATCAGTAGGCATATGATACTTACTGGTCTAGCATATGTATTGAAACACCTTCAGGAAGTGGTTGCAGAGGAACCCATCCTAGACGTACTGCTACCCGACCGACATTCCTGTCAACCTTATGGAAGCAACAAAAAACGGGTTGCAGAGAACATGATTAAACTCTATTAAGATGATGAATTATCAGGACATTCAATATTAACTTACGGGGAAGGCATGGTGATGAAGTGTCAAAAGTCTTACGCACTCGACACTCTTCAACCCCAGTCCTCGTATGCTCAACAAGAACTCCCTACAAGCATAAAGTTGAAAAATCAAATTTGCTTTGGCTGTTGATCAACACTAAGCTGAAGTTACTACAAATGTAAACTTGTGACTGCTTATCAAACTATCCTTGCTGTCTTACTTTGCTTTCTCTGGTGGAACATCTCGCAACCACTCAAGATCAATTTTTCCATGATCTTTGACCATTCGATCAAGGAACTTCTGCAAAACTTGAGTCGTGACTATTAGTTGTTAGAAAGAAAATTTACTGCTTATTGACTATCTCTCAAAATTTTTGTTTTTGTGTACCTTTATTCGTGCTGCAAGCACATTATGCATTCCTCTTCCCATAATGGTCTTGGACACCTCTTCAACTAATGAGCCCCTAACTTTCTCCCAATCTACGGAATCATTGGTTTTGCCAGTAGTTTCTCTTGTTCTACCCTTGGAATAAGTTTTTCTTAAATTATCCCAGGCAATTGTGTTTCCTTGCTTCTCCTCAATCTTATTTTTCTTTTTTCTGGAGGTAGTTTTTGGTTGGGAGATTGTTTTCTTTTGGGCATGCTGATTGTTGCTTGTAGGATGAAGAGGAAATCGGGCAGCAAGAGACATGTAGACCGAACTGTGGAAGTTCATTAAAAACATTCTCAATTTAAATTCCGTGGTGGAAAGAGATGCTATGTACTTACTTTGAAGGCCAAGTTTACCTTGAAAAATGGTCTGAAACATTTTGAGTTAGAAAAGCTCCAACCACAGAATCTACTACTGAGCCTGTCCAAGGTGAGAAACGTCGATCTCCTATGAAATTCATCCTACTGCAGTTAGTAACTTGCATGCAACTGTTTTATGTGCACTGATAAGTGTGCTTCACCAGTTTCTTTCTGGAAGAGAAAGAATAAGAATTAAGAAAAGGTTTAGTATTCAAGGTCTGTTTAATGCATCTGACAAACTGATGGAATATTGCCTATAGTAAGGACAAAGACCATAATGGTTAGATAAACACCGATAGAGGGAAGTAATAACAGTAGTGTTAATTTTGAGTAGCATGTGGATGTTCTATAGACACTGAGATCTTATGTTTTATTTTATTTTTATATAACTTTCTATTCTATACATCATGGTGAATAATACCATGCTCGCTATGGCAGCAATCAGTATGACATTTACGGTACTTTAAAGCCAATGCAATCATGGTCAAATGCGCTGACAGTATTCCATTTTCTAAGGATTTCCTCATGGTGAAGGAGAGGAGTTGTAACTTCAAATGCAGAGTGAAATATGGTAATACCTTGGATAAGATGCATGCGGGCAATGAATGAGTCCACCCGTCCACAGAATATTTCTCTCTGTTCTTCCCACCATTTTTCCTTATCTTCATTGACTTCTTGAACTCCTTCACTTCCTTCCTTCTCCGTCAGCAGTTTCAACGCTCTCATTGTCTCGGAGTCGAGATCAACATTGGGTGGTGATTTATGCTTCCTGGACGGAACAAAATGCCCCTTGTATGGAATCAGTGCGCCGTGGGTACTTTGTACAGGGACCACCAGTTGGTCACAATCATCGCTGATATGTAGACACTCTGGTTTATGTATAGCATAACCAACCAATGCTCCTACAAATACGTCGTGTGTCCCTGCATCAGTTTGATATCATAAGAAGCTATTAGTGCTTCCATGATTAGGACTAACTCATAATTAATATATTGGAATGAGATTTTCTATTTACTTTCAGCATTCAGCAAGACATCCATGCATTGTGGCGAACAGCCTTCAATATCAAGTGCAACACTCTTTTGTCCTGAGTGGGTGTCTTCAAAGGTCAGCACACCCTTGAAAGATTCTGGATCGCCAATTGCCTTTTGCCTCCTCATCCTTCTTTTCTTGTATATTGTTGGAAAATTTGGTCCTAGTTTCCTGCTGTAGTTTAGACATTGATTTCGTTGGGATCTCCTCTGATACATACAACCAAATTGAGTTGTAGCAGGGAGATCCTTCTGGTAAATAGCAGCCCCTCTTTCTGCCAGTGACACGTCCATGTGTGAGCAACTCTTAGCATCCGTAAAACCATATGCTATGCCTGGCAGGTTTTCAACCATCAGGTTGTCACCATTCTTGAAATTCGTAGTTGTGCCTATCTCTGCTTTATTGTTCATACCAGTGCTGACTTCCTGAGATTCCAAATTTAGGTTGAAGTCTAAGTGGCATGCGGATTTGTCTACCCTCTTACCTCTACGTTGATATTGATGAACAATTTTTCTGGCATCATTTCCATCTCGACCCTGGTTTTCCAAGTTCACATTTAGAGTTCGCCTGCATGTGTTTTCGGGATGTACAGGACAGGGACCAACTACTCGCCCATCAACATCTTCAAAGGAATTTGAAGGGGCCTTGAGGTTACTGTTTCTTCTGTACTTTATCTTTTCTTCTGGACTTCTCATACCAATGCTGACTTCCTGAGATTCCAAATTTAGGTTGAAGTCTAAGTCGCATGCAGATTTGTCCACACTCTTACCTCTACGTTGATATTGATGAATAATTTTTCTGGCATCATTTCCATCTCGACCCTGGCTTTCCAAGTTCACATTCAGAGTTCGCCCATATAAGTTTTTGGGATGTACAGGATAGGGATCAACTACTTGCCCAACAACATATTCAAAGGAATTTGTGGGGGCTTTGAGGCTAGTGTTTCTTATGTCCTTTATCTTTTCATCTGGACTTCTCTTGTAAGCAACAGTCTCTATGACATCATTCTCTTCTTTCTCATGGTTTTCCAACTTAAAACTCAGAGCTTGCAAACATGGCTTTTCTCCGTTTTCAGGATTTGGATGAACTGTTTCCCCAACATCTTCCGAGGACTTCGTCTGTGCTTTAAGGCAGTTATTTGTTATGCAACTATGCTTCTCCTTTGGACTTCTCTTTAAAACAACAATTTCTTTAATGTCATTCTCATCTCTCACCTGGTTTTCCAAGTTAAAACTCAGAGCTCGCCTGCATGATCTTGTAGCGTGTTGAGGATATGGATCAAGTGTCTGCTCATCAACAACATCTTCTGATTTATTGGCCAGTGCTTTGTGGCAAGCCTTCCTTATGTATTTCCAATTCCCTTGTGGACTCTTCTTGGAAATAATATTCATTGGAGTTGAAGGCTTTGGGGTCTGAAGTTTCGGAGTTGAAGGCTCAGAATTTTGTGGTTTTAAAGTGGAAGGCTTTGGGGCTAGAGGCTTTAAAGTCGAAGGGTTTGGTGGACGAGGTTTTGGATTTTTTGCAGGTTGGCCTTCAACTACTACTTTCGGTCTATATTTTGTCACCTTGTGTCTCTGCCATGGCTTCTTGCTCAAGCCTATGCCATTGTTCCTTCTCTTTCTGGCATTTTGCTTCTCTGATGGAGTTGAAACCATGAAAGATTCTAATCCAATGTTATCTTCTGACTTTTCATCGATATGGAGCTCGCTACCTTCATTCCCTCCACAAGGTGTGTCATTCTTCTGCCTTAGTTGATAAACAAAGTCATCTGCAAAAACATTTTAAATTATAAGGTGATATATCTATTTCATTTTCCACAAGAACTTGAAAACAGTACCATGTGAAATACGCCGCTGTTATACTTGTCAACGATTCTGACAGTAGCAAGATAAAAAATGAATCCAGTTAGTATCAAGAATCTCAAAATCTTTCAGTGAGAACAAAATGTGGCATGGTTTGTTCCAAGGATGAAATAATTGGATTATATTTTTGTCTCTAGTTAGAAATAGATCAGAATTATCAATCTTAGATTANTTTTCCACAAGAACTTGAAAACAGTACCATGTGAAATACGCCGCTGTTATACTTGTCAACGATTCTGACAGTAGCAAGATAAAAAATGAATCCAGTTAGTATCAAGAATCTCAAAATCTTTCAGTGAGAACAAAATGTGGCATGGTTTGTTCCAAGGATGAAATAATTGGATTATATTTTTGTCTCTAGTTAGAAATAGATCAGAATTATCAATCTTAGATTAAATCACCATATTTTTCCATCTGCAATTATTCACCAGTTTTCATCAAACTGATCTCAAGTTATTTATGTGTTTGTGGGAATATTCGAATGCACACACATATACATCAAAAAAGTTGCTGGTGNTAAATCACCATATTTTTCCATCTGCAATTATTCACCAGTTTTCATCAAACTGATCTAAAGTTATTCATGTGTTTGTGGGAATATTCGAATGCACACACATATACATCAAAAAAGTTGCTGGGGTAGTTTGCATTGTTTTTGGTTTTGTATTTGGCATGCGGCCTTTTATTTTTTATTTTTTTTAAGATAATAAGACTAGGGTGTTCCGGGAATGCCAGGTTTGAGAATATGCAATGGAAGATAAGGTACCTGTCTTTTCCAAATTTCCAGGTATGTTCCTGGTGCTGTCACCAACCACACACTCTGACGTTGAAATTCCAGATGTTTTGCAGGCTGGAGAACTTGCATTAGGCAAAACCAAAAGCTCCAAGAAACTATTGTTGTCCACACCAGCCAAATCAAAACCTTTTTCAACCCCATCAGTTGTACTCTCTCCTGCCTTTCTTCCCTCCATTTCTCCAGAACTACTGCAATAACCAAGACAAGTATATCTCTCACTCTGATTATCCATTCTGTGGTTCCCAGCCTCTAGCAATCTTCTTGGCGAACCACTTGGACCCTGATGGCCTTTCAAAATTCTGCTGCTAGAATCTAACCCGGGCCTCGCCTCAATAGCCTTTTCAGGATTACTGGCACACAAACACCCTCTCTCAACAACTCTCTCTCCACTGCATTGTGTAATTCCATTGCTTTTCCTTCTTAATAGAAACTTGAAACCCAAGAAAAGTGTCAACAATCCCAGAGTTACATACTAAACACAAGTAAAAAAGGAAAGGAAAGTAAACCAAAAACTCTACACAGAAGAGTGCAAAAACAACAGAACAGAAGCACAACAATACAGTTACCTGGAGAAACAAAAAAGAGAATTTAGGTACTAATGCCACACATCACTTTTTGAGATAAAATTTATCAATTTTTGGAGAAATCACTTGTTGAGACCACTTACTATCTTTTGAATTCACTTATCACTTTTTTGGGTGGAGTTGTTTGCCCCCTTTTTAAAGATACTTACCACCTTTTGGGGCTTTATACCTTTTCGGTATAGTAGTGAAAAGTTAAAAAACGGTAACATAGTGTTTCTCTATAATAAACTAATCTGGAAAATCAAAACATCAAGTAACTACAAGATTTCCAATTAGAAGACTTTCAAAAAGTAACTAGAAACAACCAAAAGAATTGACATTCATCAATATAGGAACATGGATACCAGAAGCAATTGAAGAGGCTGTTATTAACAATTTACCCTTTTAATCAAAATTACTGTTTAACTAATCCAACCATGAGTAACAAAGGCATTTGAGTGGTAAAATTACCATAAAAATGTTATGAATTGTGTATTATATGAACCAGAATAATCGGTATATAAACAAGTTGTGTCGTATATTATTTTGATTGATTTTATTCATTCCTAATTTATTGTCAATCGAGTCACGTCGGGTTCACTTTTCCACGAAATGGGTAATTTAAAAAAAAACATTGACCCTCTATTTTCGTATCTCGTACTAACAAACGATGTCCTATTTTAAAGCTAGTGAAAAGTTGAGAGATTGGAGAAAAACCTTACTTTACTGCTACACAGCCAACCCGTACCCAATGCTGCTCTGATCTCGGGTATCTGTTGTGGCTATACAAATATTGTGTGTATGTGTGTGTGAGAGAGAGAGAGAAGAGAGAGGGAGTATATAAACAGTAAACAATGTAACTATAAGAAAAGAGATTCTTGTGGTGATAGCACGTACAAGAGAGCCGACGACCGGTTGTGACTGCCGAGAAGAGAAGAATGAATATGGAGAACTTGATAGCTCAGAAACTGAACAAAAAAGTTAAAAGTGAAAATTGCACTAGATTTCGTTGAATATAAAGAGAGTAATCCTTGGGAGTGGATCAACTTCAGCTCCCATGTATGAATAACGACCTAATTATATTTAAAATTAGTCTCATTTAAATCAAATTCACAGAGAAAATATGTATTAGAGTATATATATCGCTATAAGTATTTAAATGTGACATTACAGGAGCATTAATATTTTTATTTTAACCTCTAATGCACACCTGCACTAAAGCTGTAAGGTGAGTTTAGTAGAGTAAAACAAAAAGTGAAAGAAAGACAGAAGGAGAAATGATAGATTTGGACAATCAACGTCAACTATGGGTTCACAGCCCCAACCCAAAAGCGGTCTTTGGTAATCTTGTCATTAAAGATAGGAGTATATGTTGGGTCGAATTTTATGAGTTTAAACTTAAATTTGGCGAGAGATTTTTTTTAAATGAAATTAAAAATTATTTAAGTTTGGCTCATTTAGAACTCGAGTCAAGCCCGAGCCCCAGCCCGAATAGTGTCTGAGTAGTTCGATTATTTTATATATAAATAAGCTGAATTTTATAAGTTTGAGCTGATTTTTTAGTCTCGTTTTTTTAAACGATTCTAAAAAATTATTCAAACTCAGCTCATGTAAAACACGAGTTGAGCTCCAACCGAATTTTATCTTAATCAATCTCAAATAACTCACTTCGATTAACACTTCTAATCAAAGGTAGCAGGAACGTCACGTCTAGCTAAGTGAAAACTCACTCCATATTCTATTTGAGCTAGTTGACTTTGATTAGACTAGGTCAACTCATAAAGAAACATAAATCTAAGTTATAATTTAAAATTGTTTAAATTATAACTTAATAAAGTTATTGATAATTATGAGATTTTGGGTATGGGTCGTCATAATCAAAGAGTTCAATAAATTCAGGAAACCCTTACTTTGCATAATAGCTCAAATGGAGCACCCACAATCTGTCCACATCAAGAGTAAAGTGAATAGAGGCCAAAGGGTAAAACTTAACATTACCAGAAGACCTGAAAATTCAATCCAGCCCCAATCCAATTCAACCGAAGAACAGCTCGGGATAAAGAAGTTGAACCCCATGCCTATCCTAGAGCATGTCCCGTCGCCACGTGTCCTGAGAATAGGGGGACCACCTTTGACAATCATGACGGTCACACACTCTTGGTACGGAGAATGTTGGTGCACGTAATCGTTCAGAGATTGTGGGCATAATGACACTGTATGACAGAGATCGCTACAGAACAAAAACAGAAGGACCTATAGAATCAATAGAAAAAAAAGAAGGAGCCACGAGAAATCTTAAATGGATCACTTGTATAAATAGGACACTGTTACCCTACAATAAAACATCATCTTCCTCGTTGCAGTCTCGAGTCATCAACACCTCGAACTTATCTAAGTGTTATTCTTGTAAAGGCAATATGCCAACAAAACCATTGTACTCACCAGAAATCAAATAATATACAATTATAAGGAGTAAGAGATTCTCTTACAGTGGATGTAACCTTAGTCCTTCATCTAAGATGAATCACTTACATTGTGTTCTGAATTTTCCCTGGCAATTTTACCATCTTTTACTCTTTATATTTATTTTGCATTCCCCTTGGGCCACGGGCCACGGTTTTAAACTTAGACTAATATTTCTGAGCACCATCAATTATAATAAATTTTAAAGTGTTACGAATAATTATTAAAATATAATTTGATTGAGATAAATTATAATTGATTATCAATTAACTTAATGAATTAAAACCTTTTTTATAAGATGTAATTTGATCGATAATAAATATCAGTATGATATTGAAGATTTTTTTTGGATATTGTAGCTTTATCCTTCACTTGGACTATTATACATACTATATATAAGATTTCTATATGAGTAACACAAATGTTATTGAGATATAATTTAAAAATATAACGCATTATGAACATTAGATCAAAGTACATTCAATTTTGGGATTCACTGATGATTTAAAGGTCAAAAAAATTATGTTCCCAAATTATTAACCTAAAAAATTTATTTATAACAGTTATATCGTCAAGTTAAGTTTTTAAGTCAATTTTTTAAATCTGTATAGCATTGCTCTTATTGTATGTGTCCCACCAGCATTAAAAGAAATTTTTTGGTGCTCACCAAACATCTACACCACTAAAGTTTCCATCCTCTCTATGGTTTTTGATATTTTAACTTTCTCCGAAGTAGATCCAATGTCGATTTTGTTGTAGATCAGATTACTATACAGTACTTAGATTGCTATGATCGATGTATAGGCGGGTTAGGTTTGTCAAATGAGTTGACTTTTTTTGGAGCCATTTCCACAAACGGAGAGACAAAATGAACTCATATCACCCCCAACCAAGGGGGATGCAATAACCCATGCCGGATTTTGGGCTTATTCATTCATCTAAGGCCTGAAAAACACATTTTTGTTGTTTCTAGTAATTTTTTGTTGTTGAATAACTTTACCGTTTTAAGTTAAAATTAATTGTCGTCAGTTCTGCCTTAACTATGAGTGGTTAGTAGTTTTTAATCATTTGATTAGTTTGAAACTTTTCCTTTTTTTTTTTGGTAAAATCTATAATATGGCCTAATTATGTGATTAGTTATAATTAAACCACGTTTTGTTATTTCCTAATTTATTTTAGGGTTTTAGTACTATTTATACTATTTTACGACTTTAAGTAAATTGATAATATTGAGAGAATTTTATTTTTTTCTTCCCAATTCTTTTGGTATTCCTAGGAATTAACAAATTTGAAACTTTTACGATTGATATGTTGTGTGAATCAACAAGTTTAGAGTAGGATTTTGAACTAATATATATGCGTAAATCAATGTTTCAATTTTATTTTATTTTTCAACCCCCTTCTTATTCCTTACACTCGTATTTTTACTCGTTTCCTGGCATTAAATTCTCATATATTATTTTATTGGCAAGTTTTTTTAATACAATTATGTCAATTAGAAAAATAAACTTGGGTATCAAAAGCACAAATGAAGAGAAAAAAAATTGAACCCATTCAATCTCAAAAAAGAATTTTTATAAATTAGTTTCCAGTAATAAGAATGTTTGATTTTCTAAAATAACATAGTTATATTGTTATTCTCAATTTTAGAGTGTGTTATTTAGAAATTTTGCCTAGGGCTTCGAATTCGATCCATCCAGCCTGCTCAAATACTAAATAAGTCAAACAAATGCTAAACACAAGTAAATATTTTTATCTTTCCATATCTTTGTCATCTAGTATACGAATTGTTCTGNAATACTAAATAAGTCAAACAAATGCTAAACACAAGTAAATATTTTTATCTTTCCATATCTTTGTCATCTAGTATACGAATTGTTCTGTAAGTAATTAGTTTTTTTTACCAACATGAATCTAATACAACACTATCAAAAATGGTATAATCCGAATATAATACAACTCCAAATAACACGACTCTGGATATACTATAACAAGAATGAATTGACACCCATCATTTTTAGATCAATCAAACCATTTGAGTCTCTACCCTTGTTCTTGGGGTGGTGGAGGGAAATGCACCTCATGGTACAGATTCATCATCTCATAGTCACAATATCCAAAGAAAAGAAAATGGTAAATTCATATAACATAAAAAACACTTTGGTGCATAACTTTATTTATTTTCCTACAACTTCCCATTTTGAAGTTCCTCGAACTTCACAAAATTGCCTTGAGAAATTTATTGACATAAACTCATGCTGATCTGGGAAAAAAAAATGCATGAGAAACAACACAGATTTTACAGTAAAATCACATTACAGAGGACACTTTTAATGATTGCATCATCCCAGAATCATAGGGGATGCCAGTGGGCTTGATCCAAATATCACCCTCAATGAACTTTGCAGGGGTGAAACCCTCAGCTTCCTGTGGAGAAATCTTCTTGATACCACTCCATTTCACTCTTGCGGCCTGCCCAGCACCTGGGCCTGTGTTGTCATACTCAGCATACCACAAGGTGTCAAGGGCATAAGTACCTATCGAGATTTCACATGTGAGAATTTCATATTGGATTGTAAAGAATGATTGAAACATTTTGCTTATTGAAAGTGGTGAATAAGACTCGATGAAGAGTTAAAACATGATGCGATTTGGGCTGTCAATAGATAATGTCGTATCGTTTTTTTTTTTTCAAAATATGCAAGCCATATTTTAATTCATACTCGATCGATGTATAAGTCCTATACGTGTTTCACACACGAGGAGGGAGAAAATAGTTATTCTAAAAAAAAATAATCCAAAATTAATTACCAGCCCATGGAGCCCATCCTTCTGGATCAATAGTGCTATCAATGAAAGACTGCATGATGATGGTTCTAGAGAAGTCCTTCCATGGTCGTCCGAGGTACGATTTGAACGGCAGTGTAGCGGCGATAAATGCCGGTTCTGCGGTGATGTAGCAGTTTTGGAGGACAGTCGCACCTTGTCCACGCTTGTCTTTCCTTCCCTGAGCGGTGACCATGCAGGCCTGGTTGTCTAGTGGTTTCCTCACAATCATCCTGCAGTTTTGGAAGACAGCCGAGGCGTCGCCAAAGATGAAGTCGATGGTGCCGGTGATGTTACAGTCCCGGTAGAATTGCCGGTACGAGTGAGCGTAGAGAGTGTCCTGGTAACCATCGATCTGGCAATTGTAGAAGATGGCCATATCACCTGAGACGCGGAGTGCCACAGCTTGATGCTTTATAGCTCCTGCTGAGTTCTCAAATCCAATGTCCTTAGCCATGAAATGATCTCCATTCACAGCTGCATCATTTGAAGGTAACAAGATTATCAGTTGGCAATAAGATAACATAGAATTGCATATTAGACACCATAAGCGCAACATAAATGG